AACAAAAGGTAAAAAGTACAGTAAAGGTATATGTACATTTTAACAGATTTAAAGTTGTTGGAAACAGCTCCATTCATTTTCATTGAGAAAAAACATGTCAAAACACTCTTAAAGAGTAGAAATTGCTGAAGTACTAAAAATCATAGCCTGAMTGTCCTGACAGAGTTGAACGTTTTTGTGTATAAATAGTTTCAAATAGCACAAAAATTGCATAAGCGCTGAAAAAYGTATGAAAATAGGATCAGTGAGAATGCTTAATAAGCATTCACACAAAATGGATACAGGTGTGCAAACATTACTTAAAAGGGACGTATCATGCATGCATTATTTTATTTTTGTTTTACCTATTAAATGCATTTTATTGCATACATGGAGTTTATAGGAGTGCAGAAAAATTGAATTTAGTCTCTTCAAGTGCTGCAAAGATATGTTCATATTCTGACTGGGTCATATTTTTCAACCGTTTTCATTTTCTATGGTGTTTTCTAAACGCTATAATGATTGTAATTTTGCAATAAAATGTTAATGTAAAAAAATTGAGGATGCACTACTACTCTATCTTTTTCAGCTGCGTACAGTATGTCGTCATCTTTATACATACAGTACATGTCTGCTATCCAATTGGGTGTCAGAACGATATACTGTATTTATACTTCTCATCCAACCATAATTATCTGTGAGGGGCCATACATCTTTCTAGATTATTAATATTATTTTTTGAACAATGACAAGCCAGAGAAAAAATAAGATGGAATGAAATAGAAACTAAATACTTTTTGCATTTTTAATTTTAAAAATGCAAAAAAAGTATGGTAAATGAAAAGTAAGGAGTAGAAAGAACAGATAATTGCCTGAAAGTCTAAGGAGGAAAGAAATGGCTGAAAAATAATTACTCCAGTAAAGTGTAGATAATCAAAGCTTTTATTTAAGTAAGGTAACAAAGTAATTGTACTTCAATACTCGACAACTCTATAGAGTTCTAAAATGCTCAAAAGGTCAGAACAGTCCTACTGTATTATTAAAAAAATAATTTTACAATTTGTTTTGGACATTTCAATGAGTTTATCATAATTACTGTCTCAACAGTGAAAGTTTTAATGATGGTGAGAAGGATGCTTGTTGTACTTTTATTTTGCCCACCAGATGGTGKGCACCACCAACAAATGAAAAACCTAAGAACAGATTCAGTTCAGATTCCAGCTTTGTTCTTTTTTAAACTCATTACATTTATTTGTTTTTTATCGGGTATGTTATTATGCTTTGACCACTATTTTAGTCAAATGTTTACCTCTAAATGTCAGCGACAAGATGATAATGTTCAATGCTCAGCACAGATTTTTCATTTGAGGCCTTTTTWAATATAATGCCGTTTTCTGCCTTCTATATATAAAAAAGAATTTTAAAACAATAATTGAAAAAAGTTCAACGTTTGTCTTCTGCTGGTTGCTTGGGCTGTTGGAAAAACTGCACATTTTGGCATGCGCGCCTGTGTGTGTCTGTGGACACACTGGTGCGCCTGCTTGTCCTTGTCACAGTGTGTTTGTCAGCGAGTCGTGTTATATCTCGGTGCAGTGACAGCATCAGTCGTGCTGCCTGTGAGACATCAGAGATCATGTTTGTGGTGCCACCAGCAAGAGGGCTGCTGAGAGCCCGTGCTGGCCACGGGGCCTGGGAGTAGATAATGTCAGGCGACTCGGAGCAGGAGAATCGCGGTGGCATATGCTGTGTGACAGGAAAACGCCTGGATGCTGTCGAGCAGAGAGGGGAGATGGTTTGGTGGCCGATGGGAGTGACAGCTGTCGGGACCACTTCTTCCAATATATGTGCTTTTTTTGTTGTTGCTGCTGTCCTTATGAGAACTAGTTTCATGAGATCAGCAGTTTGAGAGTTTAATTATTAGGTGGACATGTTGTTTTTTTATATTTAAAGGTCCATTAATGGTTCAGATATTTAATATTATTGTTATGTTTCATCTGGGTTCATGTTTTTATTTTGACTTTATTCTGATTTTTGTCATGTTCCTCTGTTTACTTCCTCCTGAATGCCTTTGCTCCAGCCACGCCCACTCACACCTGATCCTCATGTTTCTCCCCCAGGTGTTCCCTGTTTGTGCTCATTAGTCTCACCTTTATATTCTGTGTCTTGTCTTCACTTCCCTGTCGGGTCATTGTTTGGTTATGTTCTGTATTGTGTCTTGTCTTCACTTCCCTGTCGGGTCATTGTTTGGTTATGTTCTGTATTGTGCCTTGTTCTGTCTTGCCACGCCACTCAGAGTTTTTTGAGCTGCCCAGTCAGCACCTTTTTTGTTTAAATAAGTTCTTTGTTTTTTAGAGCTTTGCAACTGCCTGCATCGTGGGTTTATTCCTGACTGAAAATCATAACAATTATATACAGTTAGTATCTTACCTGTTTTAGACAGTGCTTTATACAGAGAAGGCGAGTCCAATCCTGGTTTTCAAGGACTACTATCCTGCACATTTTTGATTTATCTGTACCAGCACACCTGATTTAGATGAATTGGTGATTAACAGGCCTTTGCAGAACTTGAAGTCACTGAATCATGTGTGTGGGAGCAGGGAAACAAGTACAACATGTCTGATGACTGAACAGTTAGCTCAATCATATCATGCAAAATCCGCCTTTTTAACCTTTAAATGCAGTTTGTTGTGTACTTGGAACATCTAGGAGTGCATAATATCTGAATTTAATAAAACAGTTCTGTGACACTGTATCGTCACATGTCTCTGCTATCAGACCACAATGGACCACTCTATGAGCTGGAAGCTGAAGCAACTTGTTTGGATTTAAARAGAYAGCCTCAAAATGAGCAGCTTTGAAACACACCATAGAAAAGGAGTGAAAGAAGGGCTTGTGGASTTACARTTAGGAGGAAGTCAGACCAAAGCAAAGCTCCACTTAATATAGACCTCATCTGAATGATTTAAATGTGAAAAAGGATTTGAAAGAATATGTCTCCTTTTAAATTATATTTCTCCAAACTGTGGATGTCTAAAGATCTACAGTGGGTAAAATAAGTATTGAACACGTCAGCATTTTTCTCAGTAAATATATTACTAGAGGTGCTAATGACATGAAATTTTCACTAGATGT